CCCCCCCCCCCCCCCCCCCGCTCTTCCTCTCACCTGTTTACCGCCGCTCAGCCGGCCGGACTTGGCACCCCCCTTCCCACCGCTCGACGGGGCCTGCATGGGCAAGAACCCGGCCTGCATCTTGGGCTGGATGCGGTCCCTCGCCTCCTGGTAGCACATCGGCCCGAGCTGACAGTCCCTCCCTTCGAGATCGAGAGAGGAGATGACGTCCGCCTTGTGGTCCTGGCAGAAGACCTTCAGATGAAGATCGAAACAAATGTACGTAATGCATGTAGGCGAATAATGGTATAAGAAGACAAAAGACTGATATGTACGAAGAATGAAACATCCAGACAGCACCGCCACATACCATTCCAAGAGCCGAAATTTGCTAGAACATTATCGATCGTGCACAACCCCACCACCCTGCCGCGAGGGGAAAGCACGGACACGGTGGGAGTACAACAGGTCAGTGCCTCAAAAGTAAATCGGAAGAATTGTTAAAAACAGCAAAGCCATAAAACAAGAAAGCACTCCTGCGGCTCTTGGCGGTACCCGTCTGGCCGTCTCTCACAAACACGTGACCGAGGCAGGTCACTGGCATTTCTTGGCCCGTTGAGACGAGACTGTTTTTCGACGGTCTGCCAATCAGTCACGCCGATGGCAACCAAAACACACACACGTTCTCAGAACCGTGTTCCGGGGACCTTGATTGTTTACCCGCTGACACTGATGTCTCTTTCATTGGTACAATGCGATTTCAGCGCGGTCGACGCTACCAGAAATGAAGAACACACACATAGGCCCATGAAGAGAAGGCGTGCAAGGGTAAAGTCTTTTTTTTTCTCCCCGCTGTATGACTGATGTGCTTCCATCGGTCAGCCGGTTGGAGCAGTCGATGCTAATACACACACAAAACACACGCATACCGTGTGGCTGAGGACCCCTGCGGGCAAGAAGGCGGCGTACTTGTGTTAACCGCTAACCTCAACATTGACATGCCGTCACTGGCCGCCGAAAAGCACCGTGCAGTGTGCTACAGCAGTATGGCAATAAAATACCTCACACAAGCCACGCATACACGCAGCATCCACTTACGTGCAGGTGGCTCTGAACCGAGATCGATCGGTTGATGATCCCTCTGTCCGAGTGGATGAGGCACCAGGGGTGGTAGGAGAGGAGGCAGCGCCCTCCTGCGCACTGGACACAGGTACCCTTCTGCCCGCACAAGAGGCACTTGAGAATCTTTCGGCTCTTCTCGATGAAGTCCAAGTTGACGGGGTTTAGCTCCTCGGAGGTGAACCTCACCTACGATCGCAGAGACCACATGCGGCGTAATCACATAGCGATTGGCATCGTCATGTCAAGTAGCATTCAAACAGTCGCAGAGCCACCAAACGTGGCTGCGTAGCGCAGTGTTGGGCTTTAACGGGAGTCTTGCCTTGAACGGGACATGCCGCCCCACCACAACCATGCCCACCTCTGGTATCCACAAGGAACAGCTGACGTGCACCCACAACTTCTCTCCGTTCTTCCCGTTGCCCAACACTTGCTTCATCGCACCGCCCTTGCTCAAGTTGGTCTCCTTGCACAGCTCGCATACCGTAACGGACGCGTCCTGGAGCGGTGGGTGGGTCGGTGCAAGCGAGCGGACGATCGGACGGATGAGTCAACATCACAAGAGAGGGGAAGAAACCAAAACGCAGAAGCGATGACTAAAGGACGAATCGACAGAGATAGGTACACACACAAAATCAAGCATACGGTAACGTCGAATTCGCAACCACCTGCGAATGGTGCATGGTACTGAACTCGAAACCTATTTTGGACAAAAAAGGGGTGGCTTGTACTCTGTTGACGCAACACACTTAAGCAAGTGCATACCACCATCAACATTCATAACACCTGACCCCCCCGTCCGTCCGTTCTCTCTCTCAAAGACAGGCTCGCTCACTTCTCCGGCCTCACAGACGTCGCAAAGCCAAGAGGCCCCAGTATCCTCGCGGCAGGCGTAGCAGTGCTGGTGAACGCGAACTTTGCACCTGCAGGCAATTAGCGGCCGCGCGCCCGTATTAGACAAGAGATACAAGCCGACACACGAATGGACGCCATGATTGAATGAGAGACGAGGAGCGGATGGGGGAGAAACTAAGGAACGGATGAAGAAACGCAACGGGAAAAACAGAGGAAGAGGGAGAGAGAGAGAGAGAGAGAGAGAGAGAGAGAGAGAGAGAGAGAGAGAGAGAGATGCATTCACGAAACTTAATTTTCAAGGCAAGCAGGCGTGACACTAGGACGCGCCAAACGACACAACGATAGAGCGAACGGAAGACCGGCAGGTCGATGTCTCCTTCATATATGCTGCACATTGCAAGTGTTGTCGACGCAAGCATTTTGCTGTCGTGCCCTTTGCGGCCGCCATGTGTTGTACAGTATATGACGTTAGATATCACCCCCCCGGACCGACTTCCAAAGCTCGATTACTCCACAGCACAAAGAGTGGCGGTGTTGAAAATGGCGGCGTTGGAACCGTCTATAATACACAGTAGTCGAGAGCTTTCTGAAACATGTGCATCCGCTTGATACTACAATTACGTGCCTAGACTACTGTTAGTGGAGTAGTCGAGCTGTAAAAAGCGGTCCACGGGGTATCATAATATTAATATTGTTAATATTGTCACCTACGGCGGTAAGTGACCCATGCTATGCATAGTGCCCCGCCGTGATTGTATGGCCTAATCTCTGTTGGGGTTGTAAGCGTGTGAGTTTCCTAGCTGATGCTCACTATTACCATCAACTACTGCTGTAGCTGCATGTATATGGGTTCTTTCGGGAACGTGTCTACAGCAGTGTGTACTGCCGAATCGACAAACGTCAACGACTCGCTCTTGGCGCAGCAAACACCAAAGCCACACTGGTCGGTTCCAAAACCGAAGAGGGTGCCAATGTGCCAATGTCACACAGCTCGTACGGCAGCTCAACAACGATGCTTGTATCTTCTTGTCACAAAGATATCTCCCTCTCTGGACTGTCCTATCTTTCATGAAACAACATGAGCAGCGGTGGTTCTACAGTACACCCATCGCAACATCTCAACAGGCGACCGACCGACACAACAACTTGGTGTTTCTCGCAGGTGAGCTGGTCAGCACGGCCGATGCCGACTCTAACAAAGGGCACCCACACAGCAGCAGTTATTACACCGGGCGCGCACGCGGGAAACATGAGCACAGCAGCAGCCAGAACAAAAATAGAGCCACCCCAACCCCACCCACCTGGCGCACTGCATCATGGGGTTCATGTCGTAGTCCTGCTCGTCCATGCACACGTTGCAAGCCATCCTGTCGTCGATCGGCTTCCAGCCCTTCACAACCGTCCCGTGCTTGCTCTTCCTGCTGCCCTTGGACTTCTTGCTGCCGCCCGAGGCCTTCGAGGACGACGACCCTCCACCGCTCTTGCTGCCGCTCTTACCCCCGCCGCCGTTGGCGGAAGAAGTCGCACCGCCTCCGGAGCGGGCGGGCGACCGCGATGCCCCGCCGCCGCCACCTCTGCTGCGCCCGCCGGAGGGAGCAGCGGCGGCAGTAGCCACGGCAACGGGCGTGGCCGGCGGCTCACTGGTCGGTATAGCAGGAGAGCCCGCTGTCGCCGCCGCCGCCGCCGCCGCCGTAGGGTTGCCGTTGGTCGAAGTGCGGCCACCGGGGGTGACGACCGGGTGTTGTTGCACCGATGCTGGTGGGGGCAGAGCGTTGCTGTCGCCCGCTGGGGAGGCCGACGATGACGACGACGGAGGGCTACGGCTGCGTGCTCCTGCCACCGCCGCCGCCGCCGCCGCATCAGGCCCCGCCTTGCCGGCGGTAGAAGTCGGGCTACTGCTGCTGCTGCTGCTGCTGCTGCTGCTGCTGCTGCTGCTGCTCCGCGAGGTGGTGTCGCTAGCTCCTGCTGCTGCCGCCCCCGAGGATGAACCGCTACCACCATCGCCACTACCACCACCACCACCAGCAGCTGGAGGAGGAGGACGGGGACGTGGCCCTCCCTCCACCAGGTCCATCGCCCTGCAAACTACTTTCACGCGCGCTCTGCGAAGCACGTGCTGCTTCCCTGCGCCGTGTTGTCGCTACTGCTGTTTTTGGATGCCGCCGCCGGTTCGCTACGAAAGGGTCGAGGCAGCGACAGCAATGGGATGGCGTTTGATTCCGTCGTAAATTCACCAGCATGCGGGTGGAGTGAAGGGAGGCATACGAGTCAATATTGCTCCTGGGACAAGTACAGACGGGCGTGGGCGGGCGTGTGGGTCGTTGCAGCGATCTTGAGCAGCAAGCGGGGGCGATGTTCCGCCCTGCCCCTGGGGTACATGAGAGATGGTTCAAAAAATAATACTGAAAATTGAGTGCTTGCCAGTCTATCTAAATCCAAAGCATTTCAAAAATCTCCCCAAGAACAGCAGCAGCAGCAGCGAGAGCAGATTTTTGCAACGCCATTTTTTTTTGCTCCTTCGCAATGATACTCTGTACTGAAATGAACGTATCACCTAGCTCGGAAAAAGTTTTCCAAGTAGAAACAAAGTCTGTGCTTTGATCTAGACCACGCGTGGAGACAGCAAGAGACAGCAAAGAGATGTCTTGTCTCCAAAGCAGACCCTTTCTCAACACGAAGCAGTGTCTGTGCCTCCCTTGTTTCTCACTCATGTCTGCCTGCCTGCCTGCCTTGTCTGTCTGTGCAAAAGGAGGTCGACCCCCACGGGATGCTCCTCTCTCCCGATACCCTGCCCTATCAACCTTATCAAAACTAATTCGTTCGAAACAGAGCAGCGCCGCCGCACGCGCACGCGCGCGATCCGACCCCGGCGAGGACAATGCCGCAAACCACGCCCGTGGACAGGGCGTCGGCGCCTTTGCGCCCGAGGGCGAGGGCCAGATACCCGGCGAGAGGGCCAAACAGCGAAAAACTCGCGAAAAAGGCAAAAACAACCTCGACGACCGATGCGGAGCGCATGGCTCTTCTTCCTGTTGAGCACTTACCGAAACAGCGCAAGGCCGGGAAAACGGACAGGGTCCGTACCGCCCACGGAGGGAAGGAGGAGACGCAAGGGAGCAGCTTTCCCCCTCGGTGTTGCCGGCACACACAGCGTTTGGCTAGCCCTCCTGATCGAGCGGTGTGGTGAAATCGAAAAACATCTCAACTCCAATCGCCAGAAGGCATGTTTCGTAGGGAAATGACCCCGCCCCCGAAAGCCACCTCTATACCTCTATCCCTCCAGCTCTCACTCACTCTCCCTCGCTCTCTCTCTCTCTCGGCGCACCCGGAGAGGAGAAGATGAGCTTCGGGTCAGGCGGCGGCTTTGGATCTAGTGGTGGCTTTGGCGGTGCCGGTGGGAGGGGAGGAGCTGCGCCCTGTATCTACTTCCAGGTGACCCGGCTGCTTTTTCATCCTACTCCTCTACAGAGTCAAGTAGCAACAGTCCTTTGCACACCCAGTTTGAGGTGATAAGAGGCAAGGGCTTGAGAATAACTGTAGGGCATCACCTGGGCCACTTGGTGCGCACGCTGCACCCATCGGCAGCTTTGCTTTCTTGGGGTTAACGGAGAACGGACGCTGTGTTGCTCGTCTGCTAATTTGAAAAATTAGTAACAGCAGCCAAGTGTGTACATGAATGACACATGTTGCACTTGGAGGCGCTGCCAAAACACTTGATGAAGTGGGTCAATATCTTGACCATCTCGCCAATGCGGGTGCGCGGACGTGGCCTCTCGTTGCCTTCGGCAGTCGGGGTAGGGTTGGCGCTGCAACGAGCCACTGCCTGCAGAGCTTTACTGTGAACTGTAACCCTACCAGATCACTTGATGTTCATCAAAGCCCCAGAAGGAAATGATTATTACACCAATTTCCCGTGTGTGTGCCCTCTGGTACCCACCATCGCCCCACTTGGGCGCGCGGCACCGCGGCGCTCACGACCTTCGCCGACGCTTTCTTGTGTGCCCTGTTCTCTCTACGGTTGCTCCATCGCCTAGAGCTGCTCTTGTGACCTTGTTGGCGTTGAGTTGCGCACAAGCGATGTCTCGTCCTTAAAGGTGCTCACAGCTCGCCGAGCCAATGTTTTCGCTCTCCGAGATGTAACAAACGTGCACGTTCTCGCGCGAGGCCCCGCCTTTGCGCGTTTGGCGCCGGAGGTCACGTACCGACTTGTGTGCAGGCATCAAGTGTCAACAAACATGGTGCGGTGTGTGGTTGAGACCCTGATGCTTTGGTGCGTCTTGGTCTCTGCGTTGCTTGGTGCGCCTCCCGATGTTCGCCATCGATTTCCGCCCCCGATCGCCCCTGGTCGCCACTCCTGGTGTTGTAGTCCCGTAGTCCCCGCATCTCGCACCACGCCGTCCTCCGCGCTGCTGCCGTACCCTTGCTCCCGTCATATCCACACAAACACAAGGTTACAAGTAGGCCGGCCTGTCGGCTCTCACGTTTGAGTAAGCGCTCTCGCAGTTCTTTCTTGAAACTGAAAAGTGCTAAGTTTGGCCAAAAAATCGCATCGCTGCTGTCGCTGCTTGGAGGAAGGAAGCAAGCAGGACAGTTTTTTCTGCCTGCCCGCGCTCTGGCTGGTGGTGCGGTTTGTCGCTTCGGCGGCGGGCACTCCTGGATAATAGCGGTGTGAACAATAACAACGTGTGTTCTCCCACACCTCTCTATTGTGTGGAAGGGTGCCTGAGCTGCGACCGCTCTGTTACCTGCTGCAAGTGGATCGCTTCGTCGGCCCTCCTGCGAGTAGTCTATCCCAAAGTTCCAGGCACCTCGACACATACCACACGAACCGCGAACACTGGTTGGGTCTCTTCTGATTGAGGCCCCGCGGCTTTGCCCCCAACCCCAGTTCTGTAATCATGATATCGTTATAGTGGGTAGGATTTGGAAAGCGATGTGCTTGCCGTAACACAGGACCTTACTTCCGCCATGACCGGATTTGCACCGTTGGTTAGACACTTTGTCTGCATCATGCATGCACGCAGAAACACCATCATAATCGTTGCCCTGTAGCGACTTTCGAGACAGGGAATTACAGTTGAAACAGTTGCCGGCATGATAAGATTTTGAGCGGGACATTCGTATGCGGCGACGTCTCTGATAGATATATCATCAATCTCTTTGCATGCGTCCTCGCCGTCACACATTCACCCAGAGGGCCAGGCCGGGTGTTGATGCGGGAGCACGCAGACTTGTACGTGTACGGAAAGCAGAAGTCTGCATTTAACTGCTGTGGCTAATGATGTTTAGAAGAAGTTTGTTTGACCCTCGTTTCAATCCGGAACTGCTGTTGTCAAAGAAGGTATCGAAACGTTCCTACAATCGTTGTAACTGCTGTGCAGAACAAGTCGTCCCATCGGTCTCAACGCGTACCTACTTTTTACTGTCAGTGACGTAAGATACCACACACCCTGGACCCATTCAAAGCTCGATTTCTCCACAGCAGAAACAGAGTAGTGGTGGCGAAAATGGCGGCGTTGGAGCCGTCTCGTCGAGGGCTTTGCGTACCGCTTCATTCGTGCATCCTCTTCGACGTGGATTAATCGAGCTTTGAAAATCGGTCCAGGGGGTGTGGTATCTTGCGTCACCTGCAACGGGAGAGTAATCACTAACCACACGGTGAAGCAAGCCGTCAAATTGAGCATGCCCCAATCTCACATACCCCCCGCCCCTCCTCCTATGGTCAAGGCTGGCTGCCTTTGTTAGCGGTGGGGTGGCGTACCCGTAGTACAGTCGCTAGTTTGCCCCCTGCACCACAAAAGCCCTTGGGCTCTATCTTTCGCTTTGTACCGTGTTGAGAGGGAAAACACACCCGGCGGTTGGTCAGAGAATAGACTTGCCCAATTGGCAACGAGCGGTTTTGGTGTCCCTTGATGTTCGAGTCACTCTCAGATCGAGAGTACGGAAAGCATGTGGGCGATCATCATATTCACTTGATCAGGCTTGGGTTATCCTGTTGCGTGCGCAGCTATTTAGGCCGTTCGAAGTGCCCTCCACAATTTTCTCCCGTCCCTCCCCGCCCCCGGGTCTGCGCTCCAGCATTGCCGGTGCCCCGTGTGTACGCTAACGCCTTGCCCCGATCCCCTTGTTAGCCTTGGAACCGCGCCAATAAAGTTTTGAGACGTTGGGGGTGACTCTATTACCAGCAACGGCGCCCCGTCTCACGCTGAAACGCGTGGAGAGCGGTTTCACGAATGCTTGAAGTGGCGAAGAATGACCCCCCCCGCCAATCCCCGACCCCCCTCCCGCCAGCCTTGTCACCTGATAGCTCGGGTGCCCCGCCCAGCTTCTGCTGCCGCGTGGGGTCTTAGCGTGAGCTGCCGTGGTAGTTTCGTGACTACACGTGATGAACACTCTCCCCCTTCGCCACCAATGCCTTGGAGCCTACAGCAGTTCAGCTCATAACTATGGTGATAAACTCCGAACTCCCGCCCCTCCCCTCTTTCCTTTCCGGGACACGCACACACAATTCAGCGGGGCTCGTGCAAGTACGGGGACAATTGCCGTTACGACCACGACCTGAGCAACACAAGCACGAGCAGAAGCGGCGGCGGCGGCCCCGGCGCATCAGGTGCTTCCGGGTGGGCCAAAGCTGGTTTCGGAGGCGGGGGCTTCGGTGGAGCTCCTGCTTCCGGGAACGGCGGCAACCAGGGCCAACCCGCCCAAAGTCGTGGCGGGGGGCTCGGCACAGGTGGGGGTTTCGGGACCGGAGGCGGCTTTGCCACGGGCACGGGGTTCGGCGGTGGTGGGGGAGACGCAGCGGGGTGGGCAAAAGCTGGTTTCGGGGGCGGGGGCTTCGGTGGGGGGTCTGCGGCAAGGAACAACCCGAGCCAGCCCGCGGGAGACGCAGCGGGATGGGCAAAAGCTGGTTTCGGGGGCGGGGGCCTCGGTGGGGGGCCTGCGGCCGGGAGCAAGCAGAGCCAACCCCCGCCGCAAGGTAGTAGCGGGGGCTTCGGCGCGGGTGGGGGCTTTGCTGCAGGCGCGGGGTTCGGCTCGTTCGGTCCTGGGTTTGGCTCCAACGGGGGTGGGGTCGGGGGTGGGGTAGGCTCGCGGGGAGGTGGGGCAAGGGCCGGCGGATCTAGCAACACAGGCTTCGGCAACAACGGCTTCGGCCCCAGGGGCAGCGGCTTCCGTTCTTCGGCAGGTGCGTACCCGGTTCACGTTCTGATTTTTTTTCGTCGTGTTCTTGCTGGTGCGTTCTCCGAGTTAGGGCGAATCTTGGCTGGGTTCTTGGGTTCCCCGTTCGGGGTTCACGCCTCTTCTGACACCATTGGAGGGCAACGAAATATGAAACGTTTTCATGATTTGGTCAGGACCGGCGGTGTCGGCCTTCCTTCGTTGTCTTGGTGATGTCACTGATGGCACCATGTCTGACGAGCATTCCTTCACCGTTGACGACATAATGTGTCTTGTCTAATCCAAATTAATCGCAAAGAAGACAGCGGTCTCATTTGCAAGTGCAGCAACCGCCAATCACAAGCACGTTTTGCGAGTTGATGAACCCCAATGTTCCCACGGTGTGCGCGTTCCCAGCGGGAAACCTTGCCGGGAAACTTGCACCTTCCGTTCCGAGTGCGTCCTTCGTTCTCGCTGGTGAAGACGTTTTCAAGGTCAATGTTATGCAAACGAGGTACCACTTTTGTCGACTTTGACTACTGCTGTGAAGTATTGGCCTTGCCGTTTAAATCCCCCCCTTTCTATTCCCCCCGCCGTTGGCAGCAGGCGCCGTACCACCAGAGGTGATGAAAAGATGGCACACAGACGAAGACCTCATCAGCCCCGCGGACTTGAGGGCACACGAGGCGCCGGCGTTCACAACCGGCAGGATTCCTGTGGACCCGCCGCCGCGCCGTTTCTGTGAATAGAATATGGACCTCCTTTCGACCAGCTGAAAATTTTGGTTTGGGTTTAAGAGGAACATTGTGGTTGGTTGCGGTTGTTTTACGATACCGCCAGGCAGAAAAAATGCAAGGCGACGACGGCCGTTCGTAGTTGTTGTCCCGGTGATCTGGGGTGTATATTTAGTCAAACGAGACAGTTTGCAACATGGCAACAGTTGGGGTTCGTTTTTATGGCGTAGTGTGTAGCGCTTCGAGCGTCGGCCGCCCGGCCGGTCGAACGGTGACGCTTTACAGTAGTCACGTTTCCGGATGCGTCGCTGAACATTCACGGTCAGGAGTTCATTGAGGCCTCCTATTTATCTTGGGTGGGCATTTTTCTTGGTGGTTATCTTTCGCCTTTTCTCTAACGAAATAAGGCTGTTTCCGGCCGGCCCTAAATGCCATGTGAGGTAGACATAAGCATGTGTCCTGCAACAGGTATGTAAGAGTCCGTTTTACAGTCCTATTGATTTATTCCAAGTGCATTTCTGTTATGCATATGTAGATCAACCTTGAGTGACGCAATATACCACCCCCCCTGGATGATTTTCGAAGCGCGATTACTCTACGACGAAGAGGATGCATAAATGATAAATGAAAGGATGTGTTTTCGGAAAGCTCTCGACTAGACGGCTTCAACGTTGCCGTTGTCCGCGCTACCACTCATTCTGTTGTGGAGAAATCGTGCTGTGAAAACCGGTTAACCGTGGGGAGTGTGGTATCTTGTGTCACCTACTTGTATAGGTGAGCCGCTTTTTCCGTGTGGACCTACTCACAGGAGAAAAAAACGAGCATGAGGCGCTCTAGGTTCAAGGCGCTCCCCATACAATCTACACGTAACAGAACTGCAGGGAACTAAGGAGAAGGGCGCACGACAACAATAAACTCAAAGAGCAACTAGTCCGAAACGGCACGGACGCGGCGACACGAAACAATTTGCTTGCAAATGAGGGGGGAGACGCATAAGACCCCGTACCTCAATTGCATCCACGGCGCCCCCTGCGGGCGCCGCTTGGCGCGCGTGGGCTCTCCTCCTCCTCTTGTCTTGTTGTGTGTTGATGCGTACCGAGCACACACCGACGAGGGCACACCGTCAACGAAAAGGAAATGGTCCAAAGGGATCCAGGCCAGTCCGCCACCCCACACGTGGCGAAGGCTGCGGCTGCCACGAAGGCAACGCTCATGCTCCTGCTGACTAGGTGAGGGTAGGTTCGGTTGCAAGCGTCATGTTTGCGCGCCCTGCTGTTGTGCAACCCAAGTCCTTGTGGTTGCTTTGTGCGAACTGAGACAGCAACAACCCAGCGTTGGGAACGGCCCATCCGAAACCGGGCGCTTGTGGAGTCTGGTGTGCTGTTTGTCCTTGAAAACCCACAGACGATGGGCATACAACACAGCTTGCTCTAGCGTGTCTTCACGGCGAACACACGACCGAGATTTCATTTGCCCACCTCCAAGCATACCGATCTGCTTGGCTGACAGCGATGCACCCACGCTCGTCTCTCGCCAAGCAGGTCCGTAGCAGTACGATCGTTCTCCACCAGCCCGGCATCCTTCGTACCTAGCGCGGCGGCCGTTCGATCCCCCCTTCGCCGTCTCTCGCCATGGCCTGGCCTGCACACCCTAGACGGCGGCAGCACAGGCGCCGTTGCAACTGGCGCCGGTGCTACCGGGCATAGACAGCCGAGACGATGGATCCGAGCGTCAGCAACGGCAGCGGCGGCGGAAGCGGACACAGCGAAGTCGGGAGGGGCGCTCCGACCGCCATCGATCGTTGATGATAATGGCGACATGGCGACACACGTGAGTGCCAACACACCGCGCCGATGCGTGGACATCATGATGTGCAAGTTGTGCGCTTACCGTTGGTGACGTAAGATACCGCACCCCCTTGGGGCTGATTTTCAAAGCTCGATTTCTCCACAACATGACAGAGTCGTGGATACCGAAAATGGCTGCCGCAGAACCGTCTCGTCCAGAGTTTTACGAATACGTATTGTTTGACTCTTACACTCTGTTCGACGTGGAGTAATGGAGCTGTGAATATCAACGTTAGGGGTGGCATGTCTTAAGTCACCAACTACTGCTGTAGTTTCGAGTGTACCCAGTTTCTGCTTCTGCTGTGCACGGCTGTCTCCAACGCACCTCTGCCGCCGTTAACATCGACACGTGTGTACACAGGTGACTGCCCGTTGTGTTTTCCTACACATGAAAACATCGAAAACGTTCGTGGATCATGCACCTCGTTCATGATCTCACCCCAAATATTGGTGCTGCTCTGTGTTGCCAAGTGTTGCCAAGTGTTGCTGTTGCTGTTGTTGTTGCTGTACCGTTTCCGGTCTCCACCCAGCACCTTGTAGTGTCCGCACTGGGCCAACCGACGCGGACGCCTTCAGAGAAGACTAGGTATATCGGACATGTTTTTTTATGGAGTCATTGTCCCTGATGGCCTGCTTACCGCTTCGTGATGTGATGCCTCTGTCGCACGGACATCATATTTCACGTCGGCGTCGAAAAACAGTACGACTTCTTGTCGGTGGAGCGGAGCATGTACGCGTGGTGGGAGGAGAAAGGCTACTTCAAGCCGGGCGGCGACCCGAAGAAGAAGTCGTACGTCGTACCCATGCCGCCGCCGAACGTCACCGGGTACCTTCACATGGGGCACGCCATGGGTACTACGTTGCAGGTCCGTTGTTTGGTGTTGGGAGACTGGGGGCGGGGCGGCAAGGAGAGGCAATAGGGAGAAGGGCAAGGTTTTCCGCTGCGGTCGCCGCACTATAGGTAGCAGCAGCAGCAGCAGCAGCAGCACTTGTTCATAACACTGCCGGAGAGGCATATGATGAGCATCGCACTGAAGGGCTACTGCTGTAACGGTGTCGGCGTTGGTGCGGGTGTGGTTGGTGTCGCCGTTCTGGTTAAGGAGGCAAGGGACGTAGTGGGAGGCGAATCCCGATGTTGGCGCAATGTCAGCATCACTTGTGTTTCGGAATCAACTAGTCTGTGTCACAGTTGCGAACCATACACCGGATGTGACCTTCACGATCCACCTACCCATCAATTCAGCCGGATGTAGCAGTAGCTCAATCACCATCGGTCCATGAACTTCTCTTTGAATGTCTTCAAGCCCCTCTCCAACCCTCTCTCTCCCCCTGAGCACGCGCTCTCCCAAGCTAAGCCTTTGACCCCCAACACCACACTCCACTTCCCACGGCCTGCTGTGCACACCTGCTCACAAACCAACCCACGCCAGGACATTTTGACGCGCTACCACCGCATGCGGGGCGAGCCCACCCTGTTCCTCCCCGGGCAAGACCACGCGGGCATCGCGACTCAGATGCTGGTGGAGAGGGCCCTAGCCGCCGAGGGCATCGACCGCAAGGAGATCGGCCGAGAGGCCTTCCTGAAGAAGGTGTGGGAGTGGAAGGAGGACAAGGGGGGCTACATCGTGCGGCAGATGCGGCGGCTCGGGGCCTCTGCGGACTGGTCCCGGGAACGGTTCACGCTCGACCCGGAGATGAGCGCGGCCGTGACGGAGGCGTTCGTTCGCCTTCACGAGAAGGCAAGAAGCAATGAAGTGTTTCCCGCGGTGATGGTTCTTTTACGGTATGGCGGCGTTTTACGGTTATCCAGTATTTGCCGGTATCTAGAATTGTTTGTGCTGTTTCTCTTTTCATATCCGTGCTTGGTAGATGCTACGTGCTTCCTCGCTCATTTCATGAGTAAAACATGAAACTAGCACGCTCCGTGCACCTCTACTGCTGTGATGGTGCAAGCACGTGGACGGTGGTGCCTTGCGCGGCCTTTCCGCCCGATCCGGATTCGATTTAGATCAGGACTCTATTTCCGTGTTAACCAGGGTACTACTGGAGAGCATGCTTCCTTTGGACAAACCGCACGGTGGCGAGCCTTTGCCTCCAAGCGTCGCCGCCTTTGTCCTATTCTGTAGATGTATGCACACAGCACCACCAACACGAAATATCAAACTGACAAGGCGCCCGTGGTGTGTTTAACTATCAAGCGGCGTACGACAGCTGTTTGTCTGCTCTACGGCGTGTGTGTCCACCGATACCCTGGGGTGATTGGTGTCACGAGGGGCTGCATGATCTGCTTCCGCTGCCCACAGATGTGTATCGTTCGAATGTGTACACACTTTACATGGGGACCGAAAAACTGCACGGGTATCCCTTAAGCCCTTGACATTCTGATTCTCAATGCCACCACGGACCTCTGCAACTGCTAAGTAAGTAATGCCGGTTGAATTTATATGGTCCATACATGCATATGAAACGAACTTTTATTTTTTGTTGTGTATTCATTTATATTTGACGTACCATGTGCTTTTCGCCTGCGCAAACAACGAAAACAAAAACACGAAAACGCAGGGGTTGGTGTACCGAGGGGACTACATGGTGAACTGGAGCCCGTCCCTCCAGACGGCGGTGAGCGATTTGGAGGTGGAGTACTCCGAGGAGGACGGCAAGCTTTACTACTTCAAGTGAGTGAGAAATACTTCAAGTTAGCGAGAAAAACAATGGCCAGGTCTGCAGCAGTTGAGGGTACCGGAGTCATTACATTCCATGTGCTGTTTTCGGCAGCAGTGCTGTGAGGGCTGATTTGAAGTGATGAACAACAAAAAATGTGCCGGCTTTGAGAAAGATCCTGTCGGTTAAACGACCACGGACAAAGCTGTATCATATTTGGTATGAGGATGGCAATATCTACTAAATGCTTTGAGTGAGAAACAACGGCCAGTTCTGCAACACCAGAGTGTACCGAGTCATTATATATGCTGTTTTCCACAGCAGCAGTGTTGGCTGTGGGATGTGAGTACCGGTAGCCCGTCGGTTGGACGAATACACACAGAGCTGTTTCATATTTTGGATGTATCCATGGGAATATATATTTACTTACGTAGTGTTAAGTTTCCATAATGTGGTCTTGCGTACTATGATAGTGCCCCCCCAACCCACCCCAAGGCTCTAGTCCCCCGTCCTTGCCCTTTCTTCGTTGGAAGGTACATGGTGGCCGGGGGCAAGGAAGGCGAGCACTTGTCGGTGGCCACGACGAGACCCGAGACTATCCTCGGCGATACCGCCGTTTGCGTCCACCCCGAGGTGTGCAAATGCGTGCGTTTGTGTATTTCATGATTCATTTGTTACCACAGGGACCATTGGGGTACTCACTTTTAGGTCCGATTGGTCAAGCTGCGGCTGTCACTCCCAGGGCTACGCAAGGAGGACGTTCCTTTTTTCCGAAAATGTATGTAACTTCGATTTACCGTTCGAAGGGATTTGAGAAACTTTTTTTTTTTGTTCCTTCTCTTTCAAACCCTTAACTCTCGAAAGGACGAGCGGTTCAAGCACCTGGTGGGCGGGAAGGTGGTCGTCCCTCTCTCGGGCCGCGAGATCCCCATCATCGCCGACGACTACGTGGACATGGAGTTCGGGACGGGCGCGCTCAAGATCACGCCAGGTAAATAAGGCGGGCGGGGGGCGGCCGCGGCGGCGGCGGAAGGGCCTGGGCCGAAACAGTAGGCTACGCGGCAGTATACGCGTGTGCATCCCGTACGGCCCTGTTTACGTACACGCGCGTGCGTGCGTGCGTGCGTGGGATGGTGTTGGCGTAGCTTGGATGCCCCGTTTGAGCGTATCGAGGGACATCGCTGACCGGTGTCTTTTCTCGCATCGGGAGTTCTTTTTGAGAGAGTTCTTGGTGCTTTTCGGAGAACTACAAGTGTGTCATCGGAGAAGGTTGAAATATCGCGTCGGCCCAGAAACCTATGCAGGTGAGGTGGCCGCGTTCACGCCACCCACGTCGACGGCCAGCTGTTATCTTTTCGTCGGCACAAACTGCTCCTGCGGATTCGTTGACTGGCTTGGCTGGCTGGACATGACCTGATTCGGTCAGTCAACACACCCACATACCTACAAGCTCCCCCCTGTGTTACAGGGCGATTTTCATCAGAGCTGTGTGTCCCATTTTTTGCTACGAATTGTGTTTCACTAACCAGCCTGTGCCGTCCGGTGTGATTCTACATGTCTCATCCCCCCACCCTCCCTCCCCCTGCTTAGAACATTTACGAACCCCCTTTTTGTTCTTGCGCGTGTCAGGCCTGGCATACGTTTCACTTCACGCCTGTCTTTGCTACAAGAAGTGGTGCTGAGATGCACAAACAGTTATTGCGCCTCACATGCACACACCGCACCTCGTTGTTAAAACAAACTGACCTCGCCCGCCCGTCCGGTAATGCGTGTGTCTTTTCTGCGTGGTTTGGGGGCACATGCACACAGGTCATGACCCGAACGATTACGAGATCGGCAAGAGGCACTCGCTGCAGACGATCAACCTCATGGAGAAGGACGGCACCATGGCGGAGACGGCGGGGGCGTACGCGGGGCAGGACAGGTTCGACTGCAGAAATAACATGTGGGCGGACATGGAGGCCGCGGTAAGCACATACAAACAAACACACGCACATTCCTTCCATATCGGTACATATTACGAGGGCTTGCACGTAGCCTGGGTGTGCTCGTCTCGCTAAAGTGTTGGTACTTGGGTAGATTCGTGCTTAAGGAATTCGGTTGAATTGCTGTTCTGTTGAGGATGGGTTTCGTGGATCAGCATTTTCTTGGGGAAGGACACATCGTGTGGGTTAGTTCATTGGACCTGCAGCAAAGGTTCGGTCTTGTTCCTTTCGGATTCGATTTCGTTTTTTTTATCCTGCTGCACCGCCGCATTCCTTTCGCCGACGAGACAAGGGCCTCCCGCCGACAGCCCATGCCTACACACACCAATGCATATCGCTGTGTGACCCTTTACGTACTGCTGTGTGATCGTTACGACCGTTCGTGCGTATCGCGTGGGCATACTATTTTGCTGTGTGATGCTTCACGTATTTCTGTATGTTGTTTTTTGTACTACAGTACTGTATGATCCTTACGACGGTTCCGTGGTGCCGTGTGCGCATCGCCGTTCTCGTCCGTCCAGCTCACAGGGCCAATTTAGGTCTACAAGCAAGACTTGGATAGATACCGCATGCGGTTAATAACGTTACCGTACGGTTTTGGTGCTGCTGTCGTGCGGGTCGTCTCCCGTTGACCTTGACACGCACACGCGCAGGGGCTTGCGCTGAAGGCCGAGCCGTACCAGCAGCGGGTCCCCCGTTCTCAGCGGGGAGGCGAGGTGATCGAGCCCCTGGTGTCTTCGCAGTGGTTCGTGAAGACGGAGGGGATGGGGGCCAAGGCCCTGGCGGCCGTGCAGGAAAAGGACATCCAGATCCTCCCCGAGAGGTTCGTTTGTTCGCATGTGTGTTGTGTGGGATAGGGAACACTTGTCAAGCCTGGGGCGGTTGTGGGGTGCTTGCTTCCCTGAAGTGTGTGGGGGGTTGAGACGGAAATGATGAATGTATGTGTTTGTTTTTTTGTTTGTTTGTTTTTTTCCTTATCTGCCTGTGCGTTGCGAAAGCACACTATGATAGTTGTGGAATACTAACTTACATGTCATGCCCTCAGATGTTGTTTTGAGAGAGTTTGGGGTATCAAGTTTGCCGCAATGCTGTGCCCCCGGCCGTTGCAAGCGGACGGGATTCTTGAGTTTGCGGGGGTTGGATATTTTCCTTGTCTTACTGTAGGTGTTCGTGTTTTGGTTTTGTTCAACAACGTTGAACTGACACCTTTTCTTCACTGCAACATTCTACTTCAAGAGTATCTGTTACTCTCAACTAAGTTTGTTTCGCAGACATTTTTCTTTTTTTTTCTGGAAAAGCTGTTGATCGTCACTTCGAAAGAATCGCACGAGGTAGGTTTTGATCGAGGACATGAGCCTTAATCATGTTGCACTTTGTCGTCTCTTTCCTGCTCTATTTCCTTGTACACCCTGCTGTTCCCCCAAGTTTTCATGAACGCCTTAACTAAGCCCAGGTATTCGATCGACGCTCTTCCCTAATCCTACCGGACTCTTGACCTTGAATCAGGTTTAACAAGGTCTGGCACAACTGGCTGGACGGCATCCACGACTGGTGCGTGTCTCGGCAGCTGTGGTGGGGCCACCAGATCCCGGTCTGGTACGCGTCTGGCCACGACGGTTACTTCGTCGCCAGGTGGGTGGTGGCCAATAAAAAAATGCCCAACGAGGGGACTGTATTGCCTGTCTGCAAACGACAGGCATGCTGGCGTGCGCGCGTCCGTGCATGTGTTTGTGTGTGCTGTCGGTACTGCATGCAGCCCACGGTCCATGAACTGCACGATTTGATGCAAGATTCCAAGAACACGTACAGCAGTAGTAGTGGTCCGAAGAGAGTCGATTGACTGACCATTGGCAAGTGATCAACCAGTGGTTATACGCGAGAGTTTTTCGGACTTGTTTTTCTTTTTTCATTCTCTCCCGGCTGCGGCAGATCCGAGGAAGACGCTCGGAAGCAGGCGACCGATGCCGGGGTCCCCACGGATGTATCCCTAGACCGAGACCCCGACGTGCTCGACACGTGGTTCAGGTGGGTGCGAGAGAGGGGGGGGGGGATACTCGTGTAAACGCATGCCGTAGTGGTTAGACCATTTCCTCGCATGCCAGGACGGAGCGATACGCCGGGTTTTCCCCGGCCCAGGCTACGTTCCACAAAGATGAACCAGAAGCTGGTCATCGTCCTTGCTGTGCCAAGCCAGATTGCCGGGGGGGGGGGGGCATTGCCGTGTATGGCGGGGCGGCAGTCTTCTTGCAAGATTGCAAGGTCCTGACGTACGTACGCGATACGTGATTCGCACGGGTTGCGAGGGGCGGGGTGTCTAGACAAGCTTTTGCCCGCATTGAAACGGACGGGGAGAATGGGAAGAGGGCTGGCTGGCGCTCTGGACACGCTTGGCGTGTGCATGCAGGGTATGCGATAGGCTACCGCCTGCGGCCCTACTTTTAAAGCCGGGTCAGGATGACAACACCGCCACAAGATTTTGTCTTTGTAGCCTCGTCAGAGGCCTGAATGCCACCGCTGATGTGCCTTTTTTTTTTTGTGTGTACTCTTTTGTTTTTTGGACGTGTTGTGTTTTGCCGTACACATATTCTTCGCTGCTTCGAATTCACTCTTGGTTCTTTTTTTGTGTCTTGTTCCTTACACAAGTCGAATGCCATGGAGGTACGCCAAAAAAGGGGTGACTCTGCATATACATGGTACCGCGCTACTTTCCTTGTTTTGTATATTTTCTGTTGCTTTCTCCTTTTTTCTCGTAGTGTGACCATTCCGTTTTTTTGCATGTCCTTTGTCAACCGTCCTTGTTGAGTCTCTTACATTAGAGAAGGACACGAGCGGAGTTCGTCCGCACCACGCACGCAGCGATCCTCAAAGCCGACGTCGGGCCCTTAATCCCAGCCCTTCGCCAGCTCACAAAAAACAAATGTCGCTGCAAGATCAACGCCGCCGGTAGCGCGTCTTCCACGAGTAATGCACGCCGCAGGGTCGCAGAGGGGACAGAGCAGAGGGGGCCAACCACCGAGTTATATTCGCAGACAACAACTAGCCCTGCCGCGGGAGGAAAGAGGGGGGAGGGGGGGTAAAGGCGGGGGGGGGGGGGGTTTGG